AATAGTATAAAAATATATTTAAAAGTGAGAAAAAGCACCGCCTATAGTGACGTCATCTGGCGGCATTTCCCATTTAAACACATGTATTTTAGCAGATTACCCTGGTAAAAATTGGCAGTAGTATCTGTGTTCCAAAATACCATAGACCTACAGCCGGCTGTAAGATTTCCAATAGCTTCTATAGCCGGCTACACAATTTCTTATAGCCATTTATAGCCGATGGCGATTAAGCAACAGCCAGGCGATAAAGTGTATGCTAAACATTACTAATTACGGATGCTAGGTTTTAGTGAGTTTTTGGACTACTGCTCTCTTTTTGGGCCGTAGTATCTTTATTCATTTTGCGAGGAAAGCTCCGTACTTTTGATGGATGCCTGCCATTCCTAGTATATTAGAGCGCCTTCAGTTTCCTTTGATACTGTGCAATACCTCTGGTGTGAAATAGTTGCTTCAAGCGCCGTGGCACGCTGCGGCGCGGCGGGCGGGCAGCCAGCGCGGAACGCGCATGGCGCCTACAAACCTAACAGGGATACTTCACGCGTTGCGCAATGCGTGAAGTATCCCTGTTAGGTTTGTAGGCGTCAGTGCGTCGCCGCGCCGCTCCGCCTTGTGTTAGGCTCTAATATTTAATCTGGCGGAGTCAGCGTTATTCAACTCATGATTTTGATATGTTTGCACATCCTGTATGGATTATTCTCATTTTAATTGATGAAAAAAATATGTATTAAAGGAAAATATAATGTGTATTTTGTAAATATTAAGGTGGTTCCGTATCAAATTTAATGATTTCTAAAACACACGAATTTCTACACAATTTCTTATAGCCTTTTATAATCGATGGCGAAAAAGCAACAGCCAGGCGATGAAGTGTACAGCCCGGCGATAGGCTATAGACTATAGATAGGCGATAGACCATAGCCCGGCTGCATAATTTTTTATCGCTTCGTATAGCCCGGCCATATAATTTTCTCCGCACTCTACAGCTAGCTATATGATTTTCTGTAGCCCTCTTTAGCCGGCTATAAGAATTCCTATGGTAATTTGAAACGCAGCTCTTATCGCCAATTTTTACCAGGGTAGGTTATTTTGTCATATCTCCTCCAATAATTGATCAATTTATGAACCGAGTGTATTCTTGTGTTCAGCTCACTTGGTAGCGTCCACTTAAACACGGAATTCATCAAATTTCAGACACCTGCAACTTCTCCATTCAATCTAAAATATCTGAAAATATCAGGGAAAATTATGCATGAGTGTCTTCAAAAATGCATATTTTATCAAGGAAAATTTGGCAACTCGCGATGGTTCATACGGCGTTCTTCCTTAGCACGACAGCATTTTGAGCACGTAGGGGCGCGTTTAAGTGGGTGCGCTACGGGTCGGGTGTAAGAGGGGCGTGAAGAGGGGATGGGTTCAGTAGGTCAGTGACAGCGCTAACGATGGCGGTAAATTTCGTGAGCTGTGAAAACTGGAGCGACCAAAACACGCAGACTCATCCGAGGTTTGAATTTTCAACCCTGCATTGCGAGCTCTGTACATTCAT